ACCCGACCGGCCACGTCATTTAAACCCTCCATGTCAGCTAAACCTAACCAAACCTCTAACCAAACCAGACCAGACCCGCTAACTAAAACAAAACTGACCCGACTCACCAATTAATCTACCCACCTTTGACTAAAACCCTAATCGAAGACAAATCCATCCGCCTCCATTATTCCCTTTTGGGCTTAACATATACATCGTCCACAGTGGCTCGTCCAGGAATTTCATCTTATTGCTGCTATTAGAACCCCGTTGTTGTTATTACTATTGTTCCCGTCGCCGGTGTCGGCCCTCTTCTCGCACTCGAACGCGATCCGAAGCATGCCCGACCCGAGCTCCTTCTGCAGGACGCTCGTTTGCATCGCGAGACGGCGAAAGGGAGGCATTTGGGGGTTTCCTGGATCGAGAGGCTGACCCGGCCCTTTCGGTACCCGATGAGGGTGCCCGTGACCCGGGTACCTGATGACTCGATATTTGCACATGTTTTTCCCCTTTGTTTCTTGATCGTTTAAGCTTGCATTATCGCTTCTTTGGCCTATTTTACGCTAGGTTGTGTTCCTTTGTTACATTTCAGGTCCTAGCACATAAAGTGAAGCATAGGCGCAAGTTTCAAGTCAATCAGAGATCAATTGGCGATTCGGGAGAAGGAACTCTGGCGTGACCTGAAGAAGAATGGATTTTTACCTCCCTTTATGGACAAAGAATCGTGCAAGTCTGTCATGAAAAGAAAGAGGACGAGACTACGAGCGTCTGGGATCAAACGGCGACTGATTCGGAGTCCGGACGAGGGAGAAACGAAGCATTGAATATAGGGGAACAGGTTCGGCAGTGAAAACACGGGCAGGAGGCCTTCAGAACAAGGCCGTGTTCCTGACCGTGTTTTTATAGCCGAGACTACCCAAGGGCGGCTTGAACCACCTAAAAAACACGGGCATGCCTGAGACAAAACACGGCCGTGTTTTGCACAGAACACGCCCGTGTTTTCATGATGCCCGTGGCCGTGTTTTTAAGCCAAATCCAAAACACGGGATGCCCTTTTAGGCAGATTTCAGCCAAATTGAGAGGGATTCAAGTTTGAGAGAGAGAGAGCGATTCCTAGAGAGAGAAAGCGACGAACAAGAGTCTCCAAGTGCCCTAGCTTGATCTTCATCACCATTGGAGCTTGGCTTGAGCTTGGAGAAGTGCCGATTCAACGTCCAGGAGCAGAAATCCATCTTCACAGTATGATTTCCGCGTCTGATTCTGCTTTTGCTTCTTTCTCCATGGAGTAGTTCTCCCATTCATCTGGGTGTGGGAGACCCTAGATCTGTATGTTAGGATTGATTGTATGAACCCAAGTACTGTTTCTATGATTTGATTATATTCGATTGAGGTTTGAATGACTGAATGACATGAATCCTGATCAAATTCCTGTTGTTTCTGCTTTAACCTAGAATGAGAATATCTGCCTAGGTTGATAGAGCATCCTTAATTGAAGGTAGCGAATTGGTGACTTTAGTCGAGGAGCCAATTCGCTATTCTGTACCGAATTCCATTCGGTAGTGGAGGTTTGGTTCGTTAGGGCCTCAATCTGTTTACTCCGGTGGAGGTTAGTCGCCCGCTAGAGACTCAGATTGAGAGGTTCTGAAGACCTTTAGTCGAGACTTCAGACTGTTTGAGAACCTTCCGCAGTATAATCATAGAAATTGAACTTGGTAATTACAATCCGGCTTAACTGCAGTCTAGGGGGAACCATATCCGGGTGACCTCTCTTAACCTGAAAACAACCATTTAGTTGCTTTGCTTGCTTGTTAGTTTAGATCTTCACTAAAGTTTCATTGCTAGATAATACGAATTCACTGAGTAGTCATCACATCTAGGACCCGGGTTGACATTAAAACCCAAACCCGCTATACTGCGCTTTAGGAAGTGGTTACACTTGGCCATTTTCTAGAGTGACAGTAGGAGTGAGTCAGTACCCAACACCACGCCCCGATTCGGCCCGTCGGAGAACCCGCTCGAGAGGAGGATCGGCATCCGGCAGGCCTGGGCGCCGACTATTGGGAAGGAGTGGAACACGGATCGGAAGACGCTGAGGACCTTGGGCTTGGATTTCTTGTTCTTGCTGGCCGGCTGGAGGAGGGAGACGGCGGCGACGGCCCGTCGGGGAGGTGGCGGTGAGGTCGGAGTTTGGGAATTGGAGGAGGCGTTGCTGGTCCGCAGCGGCGTTCGGTCACCCATTAATTAATGGACTGCGATGATGAAACGGGAGGAGGCATTTGCCATGGAGAGAGGCGAGCGGCTGGTCGGCGAGGCAAAGGGGGTGGAGAGGATTTGGAGATTTTTGTGGTGTTGTTGTTGTCTTCGATTAGGGTTTTAGTCAAAGGTGGGTAAATTAATTGGTGAGCCGGGTCAGTTCTGTTTTAGTTAGCGGGTCTGATCTGGTTTGGTTAGGTTTAGTTGACATGGAGGGTTTAAATGATGTTGCGGGTCGGGTCAGTCAATTTTGGGGTTAAAAAGTGCTGATTAGGCAAATCCGTCAGCCACATCATCACTTAACGGACGTCGTTAACGACGTTAGACGGCAACTAACGGAGAGTGACCATAAATGAACAATTTTTGTAAAGTTAGCGATAAAAAATGGATTTAAATATTTAGAGTGACCAACCATGAATGCTTTTTGTAATCTCAGTGACGAACCATGCAATTAACCCAATTTCCTCCTCTAGAGGAATTCTCATTTATTTCGGTTCTGGGTTCCCCTCCTCTTTAGAAGAGTTGTAACTTGTATATTGAAGAACTTACCGCCTGTATGCTCAATTCTTTTACTTGTTTCTTTTTTTATTTTACCCCCGTTCCTCTGCTTGGCAAGGCTTCTGGGTGTGCCTGTTATGGACGGAAGGTAATTTCTAGATACAATTACAGCTTGCAATCCTATCACAGGAGCAAGAATCTGCAAACAATGGCTAAAACAACAGGAAAGCAGCTATGAGAAACATAAAGTTAGAAATAAATTTACTAGATTTCAAAATTTTCTGTCCGGTGGAATATACCACTCTGAGTTTTGTCAATTTATAATTCATCACCAAATAACATCTTTCAACATCCAGCACTCGAACTCAAAACTACCAACATCAAAATTTATCCTATCGATTCATAACAAAGTCTAGTGCTGCAGGCTTCCAACAGGATCTCATATGGCAGGCACAAAGATGATGAAAATAAGACCATCAGAGAAATCTCCCACCGCTCATTTCTTCTTCCCACCCTTAGCGGCATCTCCAGCCTTGGTCTGTGGACAAGCATATGGAGAATGGTGGTTAGGGAAGCTTCAAAGGAACGGCAGAGACACAAGGAAGGAAAAAGTTGACTTCTTATTAAGCAAGCAATATGAGGCTTTACCTTCTTCACACCACGGATCTTCTTGGCCCTGTTTTTCCTTTCCTTCATCTGTTTCCTCGACTTCTCAACCTTGGTAGCAAGTCCATTCTGCAAGGAAAGATACGGGACGTTCAACAATTTGAGCACTCAAACTGGAACAACACACCCAAAACGTAACATGCAAAAGATGACATACCCTGATCAGTCTGTATTTGGGTTCATATTTCTTTGCATTGTCAACCGAGTCATAAATGAGCCCAAAACCAGTGGACTTCCCACCTCCAAAGTGTGTCCTGAACTTGAAGACAAAGATAGAATTTGCGTCCTTCACATCGTACATATCTTTCAACTTCTCCTTCAACTCAGCCTTTAAAAAAGGAAGACAATGGAAAGAGCGGTTAAGTTAAGTAAAAATCATCACGGCCTGATGCACAAATTGAAGAAAGAGAACGGAAAAGATTAAAACTAAGCTTCTGGCATTGATATACCTTGGGGACATTGGCCTTTCCGGGATGGAGGACATCGATCACCTAAGTTCACCAACCAATAAAAGCCATCAGAACCAAAATTCAAGTGTGCTGATTCGAGAATGCCCTTGGCAACAAAGTGCAGAGATATAATTGATAACCTAAGAACATGTAGCTATCCTTATAACAACATCCAGTTATCTAAGAGATGGTAGAACCTGGATGTCATCGTTGAAGGACCACTAGCTACATCATTAGCTTAAACAATAGCCCATTTTTCTTAAGGCTAATCTGACATGCTAAATCTATTACAATAAAACAATTTGTCAAAAAGACATCCGCAAGAAAAGAAGAGAAAAACAGTGGCAATCTGAAAAACCAGCCTCACAAGGCATGAGCATTTAAATACCCACTATAGCTCGTACTAACGGAACAACCAAAGAAACCCAGAAAACAAAGCAGTCGTTCCATAGCAAAATAGCAGCAATGCTGCACCTACAGCGGCATCAACAGAAACGCATACCAAATAGAAAAGACGAATCCTCAACGCAAGTGTCCAATTAGCAGCAAGATGTGCACTTCACCCTAAAGATTTCGTAGCAGACTTTAGAAAGCTAAACATATCGGAAGGAGCCGAACAGAACTAGACGAGATTCATGGAGATACACGGCCTCAGAGATCTTGGTGGATACAAAACTCATCAAGCGGACTCTTTCGAATCCGTCAAGAGTAGCAAATATCTAGTTATCACATCACCGGCCGACCAAAATAGCCCAAGAACTACAGTAGATACGCAGGCAAACGGAAAATAAGTAAAGAGAAAACACTAGGACACTTACAAACTGCTTCCTGGAGAGGAGGCGGTTCGTCATGAATTTCCGCGTGCGGATTGTGACCGCCTTTTCAACTTTGCTGCTGTCCGCCATGGTTGCTGCTCTTCGTGATCGAAAATACGACTCGGCAAAAACCCTTGCAGAAAGTTGAAGCAGCAGCTGAAGAGAATAGGTATTCGCTAATTTTCGTAGCTTTATTTATATGAACGGAGATTGCCCTAGAAGCAGAAAATTTTAACTGGGCCTGTCTTTCATAGGCCCAATCATCATTTTGAGCCTCCCTCGGACGGGCCTTGTTTTCCCGAACTAAAACTAGATCAGCGAGCGTTTAGGAAGGAACGCAAACATCATCAATTTGAAAGATTGCAGGTCTCTTCTGAAACAAGTATGGTGGAGCCGTGGAGGTATTGCCGTTCTGTCTAAGATTCACAGAGAGAATGGTTTAGTAGCTGATGCTCTTTCAAAGTTAGCACACCAGAATCGCAATGGGGAGACTCTATTAGCTCCGCTTACACTCTTGTACGCAGAGGAGGATACGTGTTTCCGCTGCGCGAATTTCTGAAACGCAGAGCTACGAAGCAGCATAAGTAGAATCTTGCTCTGCTCTGTGATTGCCATGGCGGCGAAAGCAAGTCCTTCATCGAACCTCCACAAATCCGTTGCCATTTCTAAGGGATACAACTTCGCCTCAACTTGGGAACAGGTTCCATTTCCTCCTTATTCTCCTTCTGCATGTAGAATTATCGGCCCAATTGATCTGCGTCGCCCGCGGATCGGTTTAGGATTATTCGGATCCTTCTGGATCTCAGTCCTTGTTCATCGTCTGTCCATGAATTTGTAATTCTGGTATCGGCACCGGTAGTTCGAAATGAAAATTCTGGATCTGGAGTAACTGCTGCGACGGAACTGAGACGTTCGCATCTTGATTCGGGGTCATATATCTGGGAAAGCTTGATGAGGCGAAATGAGTAGGATTCGTGCAATTTTAGTATGCTACTTCACTTTCTTTTGATTAATTGCGGGTTCTGTGATGCAGAATGCTCCCCTCACCGAGCAGCAGCAATCTGCGATTCTTTCACTCTCTCGTGCTGTTGCTGAGCGGCCGTATCCTGCCAATCTGGTATAACATGGGATTCCACCTCGTCCATGCCTCTTGGTGTTTGCTTAGTTGGTCGTTTACGAGCTTTTTGGTGGAAAGCATTGCGAATACTGACTGCTGCTTGCAATTTACAGGCCCTAGAGCATGCCCCAAGAGCGGAGAATGGCGGCTTGACTGTCTCTACTAAGGACAGTGCTATGAGAGAAACTCAAGGAATTGAAGCAGTTTTAGTCAATACGAATCAAGTAAGTCTATGCATGCTTATCTACCATTTACTTTGCAGTTATGCAAATAGATAGTGTACTGATTACTGTGATATTCTCTGTATAGAGCATTTGTTATGGGGGATTTTCAGTTGAAAGGCATCTTGTTATTCTCTATTTAGGACAGACACTGGTTAAAGGGGGGTTCGAGGCTGAAGTGTCTGATTCATACTAGGAAACCTTATAGAAAATGATTATTCTGCTTTCTGCTTCTTCGAGCTTTGGGGAAGCAGACTATTGATCTTACCAGCCATGGTTGCTTTTGCTGACCAGTCTCATTGAGAAGTGACTTACAAGTCACATAACATGTGAAATAAACTTCTACGTTGGTTTGACAAGACGAGAGATGTCTTTGTAAATTATCTCAGTGTGTGGCATGTGTTGGTTGCAGTTTTACAAGTGGTTCACAGATCTTGAATCAGCCATGAAATCTGAGGTTAGATATGATTCTTAATGGATTTATTATCTGGTATGGATCAATAATGATCTGTGAGCACATAGATTTGTTGTCCTTATTAATCTACGTCTTTAGACAGAGGAAAAGTATCAGCACTATGTGAGCACATTAACAGACCGCATTCAGACTTGTGATGATATACTTCGCCAGGTAGGTTGGAAGTTTCTAATGCTTCTTAGTGCAATTGCTCTGCGTTCTAGTTATGTTGTCCTTATGGATACTTTGACACTTTTCACGTGGCAGGTAGATGAAACACTAGACCTTTTCAATAGCTTACAGTTGCAGCACCAAGCAGTAGCTACAAAGACAAAGACTCTCCATGATGCTTGCGATAGACTGGTATAGCCTCCTCCTTTACGGATTTGATCATTTAACTAGCTCTCCTTTTGTATAGCAGCCATTGCTAGAAAGGTTTAACTGTTGAACTGTGAAATTTTATTCAATCCCTTGTTGACCAATAGAAATCTGGAATCAAACAAGCTGGACATATCAGTTGAAGTTTTTCTGTCGCAAATGAGCCAGAAATTGATTATTGTCTTTTCTTTGGTTAATTTACCAGTGTACTATCATGTGCATCTTAATATTTTGTGTGTATTTTACACGTGATGACATCATTGGCAACACAACCTTGAGCTACATTAATTGGTCTTTGGAGTAAAACTACTCCTTAAAAGCCTGCTCGCCTTTCATAATGTAGTTCCATTATGTGGTTGCCTCGTTTCTTGACTCCTATTGCAGGTAGTAGAGAAGCAAAGACTAGTGGAATTTGCAGATGCACTTCGCAGTAAACTGAGATACTTTGATGAATTGGAGAATGTAAGGTTTGAACCTCTCTTAACTAGAGTCACAGTTAGAACATTACATGTCCAGTCTTTTTTGTGGTTTTCTCTTTAGTCAGGTTAATTATGTTCTAGTTAATGATGTGCTAGCAGTTTTCTTGATGTATAATGTTAATACTGTTGTTTTAACGATTTCGATGTTATCAAGTTTTTTTTTTAATTTCTGAGGCTCATGATTTCCACCTTTACAGATTTCTTCCAATTTTTATTCTCCAAACATGAATGTTGGAAATGGAAACTTTCTACCTCTACTGAAGCGGCTGGATGAGTGTATAGCGTATGTACACATCTTTCCTCTGTCTGCTGGTTATTTGTGCTGCTGATATTCGGCATATGCTTGTTCATGAGATAATGTAACTTTCTCTTGATTGGACTGCGTTTGAATGTCATTTTACCATTTTTGCTCCCAGGTATGTTGAAAGCAATCCACAATATGCCGAATCAAGTGTTTACTTGCTCAAATTTCGGCAACTGCAGGTACCTCACTAAAGACTATGATTGGTGGTAGACTGTACAAATGACAGAATTTTTTTTCACTGGTCTGAAACATCTAAAATATTTTTTGTTTTTTATCAGTCTCGAGCCCTCGGCATGATTCGCTCTCATGTTCTTTCAGTCTTGAAAGGCGCTTCTTCTCAGGTGAAACATTCTTATGCAAGAAAAAGATTTAACCACCAATGATCTAAGGCATCTGCTACTCATTCGTATGTTCATGGCCTTGATTAATAATTACTCTCTTCAACAGGTCCAAGCAGCTATCCGGAGCTCTGGTGGCAGTAAATCATCTATGTCTGAAGGTGTGGAAGCATCCGTTATCTATGTTCGGTTCAAGGCAGCTGCTAGTGAGGTATTTCTTACTTTGCCTACTGGTGCATAAAATATGCAATGGACTAGTTCCCGGAGTTGCACTCATTTGTTTGCTCAATTTGACCTCACCTAATGATGATTCTTGGCAGCTCAAACCTATACTGGAGGAGATTGAAGGTAGATCTGCTAGAAAAGAACACGTACTGATGCTTGCAGAATGCCATAAGTTGTATTGCGAGCAGAGGCTTTCGTTGGTGAGCTTCCTCTCACTAATTTTGGGGTACACCAGCATCTTTGTTGGCTTTGTTTGATCCTTGCAATTCATTTTTCTCTTTGAAGATAAAAGGCATAGTGCAGCAACGGATATCTGAGTTTTCCAAGAAAGAAGCTTTGCCATCATTAACTAGATCTGGTTGTGCATATCTGACACAGGTAATGTTGTTAACCCTTAAACCCGCTGGTTGATTTGATGAATTAGCTTTTTGTCCCTTATTTTAGATTTTCCAATTCACCAAGAAATTTTATGTATGCCATGAAATCTGGCATTAGTAATTTGGTTTCTTACTGGTATCATCACTACTGGCTTGGTATCAAAGGGGAATCATCTAGTCAAACTCTGTCTGCATGAGATGAGGGGCATGTATATGGTTCTCTTCAAATAGCTTGCAGGCTTCATATGCACTATGCAAACTAATACTAGGCTAGCCATTGCTGTGGTTCCATGATTGATCCACGAAGAGCCATACTAGAACCTCCTTGTTATCTTACACCACTATGGACATTAATTTTCTTGTCGAGCCATTATGTTGCTCACTTAATTCCTATGCATTCACTATTCTTCGTGGTTTTGGAAATTCGCTCCTTGAAGGTACATGTTCATGTCTAGTTTTTCTTTCCATTTCATGAAAGACTTCTATCCATTTTCCTAAGTCCACCTCCATAATTGCAGGTATGTCAACTTGAGCAACAGCTCTTTGATCACTTTTTCCCATCTTCTTCAGAAGATATCTCTAGTTTGGCTCCACTGATAGATCCTCTGTAAGATTTTTTCATATCATTTTTCATGAGTTCTCCTTTTTCCGAGATTTTATCTCTCTTTTTTTTTCCTTCCTTTTTCTGTACTTTCTTTGTTGCGGCTGTAAATGTTGAGCTTGTTATTGGTGTAAATTCGTGCTCCAGTTTATGACTTTCAATTTTGTTTTACAGGGCAACATACTTGTATGACACCCTACGACCAAAACTTATACATGAGACAAATGTTGATCTTCTGTGTGAACTTGTTGATATACTAAAAGTTGAAGTCTTGGGAGAGCAGCTTAGCAGGAGAAGCGAGTCACTTGCTGGGCTGCGTCCGACACTGGAAAGGATTTTAGCTGATGTTCATGAACGCCTGACATTCCGTGCTCGAACTCATATCCGTGACGAGGTAGTTATTTATTTGTTACTTCTATTCACCTATGCAAGTGATGTATATGAAAGTACGGTATACGATTGGGGTTCTGTGTTCACTTTTGCAAGCTCATGTAGCTTGGTGTTTATTTTTTCTGAGAAATAAAGCTCGGTATATTAGATTGTTTTTTTAAGCTTTGAATCCCCATCCTTGGAAGATGTTATGTCAAGAAGTATGACAATGTTCTAAGACCTTTAGTTCTTCCTAATGCCAGTGGACTTGTTTCTCCTGCAGATAGCAAATTACATTCCATCTGACGAAGACTTGAATTACCCTGCCAAGCTAGAACGGATTAATGAGACAACGTCTGAAACTTCTTCGGTAAAACCTCAGATACTCGGATTTTCTGTCTCCTTCTACATTGTTATAATTTCTGGTTTGTGATTAATTGGTTATGGGAAAAACTGGAGTCTGTAGGCCAAGCTGTTGAAAATATTTACAATTTATCGACCATTCATTATTTCCCCATTCATCTTTATAATTTGCAGGTTGATGAAAATACAGAGCTGTTTAAATCTTGGTATCCGCCTCTGGAGAAAACTTTATCATGCCTTTCTAAGTTGTACCGTTGTCTTGAACAATCCGTGTTCACTGGTTTGGCACAGGTATTAGAGTTTTGTATCATTGGTGGTATTCTCATTACTTTTTAAGCAATTGACTTTCCGAAATTCCCTTTGCATTGCTGTCTGACAGGAAGCAGTGGAAGTTTGTGCTGATTCCATTCAAGTAAGTTAAATGATGCACATTTCTGTTATGTATCCATACTGCAGTTCTATATGCATTAACATCAACTCCCTGAATCAAATCTTCGTGTGTGACACAGAAAGCTAGCAGGCTGATTGCTAGGAGAACAACAGCAATGGATGGGCAGCTTTTCCTTATTAAGCACCTTCTAATATTAAGGGAGCAGGTTATCTCCAAAATTTTCAATTTCAATGATTTTGTGGCTTTCTATTGGTGGATACAATCTAACGTGCAATCCTGGGTATATCAGATTGCACCTTTTGATATAGAGTTCTCAGTCACACACAAGGAGCTAGATTTCTCTCATTTACTGGTTAGTTTCTCTCATTTGTTAACGAAACTTGAAGTTCCAATCAGTTTAGATAACCATTGCAAGAATTAGGCTGATATATCTCTCAATTGAAGTTCTATACTTAGCATCGACCATAGATTAAAGCATCTTTTTTAAAGTCTGTTTCTTGTCCTCTGTTTGATCTTCTGTTATGCTGAGATGAAAATTGCCAATGATTTTGTTGCATTATTAACATTAGCATCCATGATCCAGGAGCACCTGAGACGGATACTTAGAGGTCAGACCTCACTATTTGATTGGTCAAGATCATCCTCTTTGGCAAGAACCTTATCTCCTAGAGTGCTAGAAAGCCAAGTTGATGCCAAAAAGGTTTGGTGATGATTTCTTATTTTATCTTCTTGAAATCCCTTTCTTCATCAAACTACTACTGCAGTAGTGGTATGCGTGATGAAATTAAATTATCTGATTTATATTTTCTTGCCCTTTGCATATTAACAAGTTGCTCTTATTCATCTGCAGGAACTTGAGAAAAGCCTAAAGGCCACGTGCGAGGAGTTCATCATGTCGGTCACTAAATCAGTTGTGGATCCAATGCTCTCATTTGCAACAAAGGTAGGCGCTCTCAAAATCTTATTCGAGTGAAACCTTAGTAACTTTTGGTTCAATCTATTACATGTAGTTGCATTCTAGTGAAATCGGGACACCCAGGATAATCTTGTCAATGAGTGAAAATACCTGGTGTGTCTGACATGAAAATACCTACACGTCCATTGTGGAGTCGGTGGTTCTGGGTAGGGCAGCATAGACGAAGGACAAAAGTGTCCACCATAATGACCAGTTTTAGCTGCATAGATGTTTGCTCTCCAGTTTTTGTTTCATGTGCTTAAGGCTACGAGAGTGCAGTTGCAAATCCTTTCTGCTCCTTGTATAGGTGACGGCAGTGAAAGTTTCCCTGTCTGCGGGTAGTCAGAATCAAAGAGCAGATTCCATCATGGCCAAGCCGATCAAGGATCAAGCTTTTGCTTCTCCCGAGAAGGTGGCTGAACTTGTTCAGAAGGTAAGGTTTCTGTACAGAGCAAATAGCTTCCTTCATATGTAACTTTTTCATCCAGACTTCATTTTCAACGATTTGTTCGAAACCTCATTGCAACTCCCTGAGCTCCCTTGACTTTGACAATGTGGGTTCCACATTTCGATACCGCTTTGCGCTGTAGTAATGAATGATAGGAACAGAAATGTATGGGTTATAGGAATCGACTACTATGCGTGTATTTTGTTGTTGATAGTCGTAGTAAGTTGATTTTCTCACCAAGTTAGCTTGAAAGAGCTGCCGCCATCACTGTTTGTTTCTGCTCTTGATTTCTCTTGATTTCGATATCCTTAACTCTCTGAACAGGTTCATGCTGCCATCCAGAAAGAGCTGCCACCGGTGATGGCCAAAATGAAGCTCTACCTGCAGAACCCTTCAACTCGAACGATACTTTTCAAGCCCATCAAGTAAGTTCCTCATTTTTCCCGCATCCTATGTCAACTCGTTGGTATTCTTTATGATTGGGATCTCTAAAGAGACGTTGGATTTGCATTGTTGCTGTTTACACAGAACGAACATTGTCGAAGCTCACATTCAGGTCCAGTCGCTGTTGAAAGCGGAGTACTCCCCTGAAGAGCAAAACACCATCAACATGGTGCCCATTCCAGAATTGCAAGCACAGCTCGACAAACTCCTATGAATCGGTTGTACTATGTTATGTATAGTCTACACACAAAACCTGCTTCTTCTTGCTCGTTTCCCATCACCGGATCTTTCATCAACTAGTGCAGTCGTAATGTGTTATTTTGCTATACAAATTCGGTTTTTACGACATTATGCGGGAACTGTAATGTCGTGTTTATTTCTGTAGGATTTGATGCTGGGTTTTCCGATGTCGTGTTATTTTGCTATACAATTTTGGTTTTTACGACATTATGAGGAAACCGTCATGAGGCAAATTAATTTCTTAGGATGCTTGCCTGACCTCTCTATAAGTCCTAACCCATTCATAAGAATGTTGAGGTACTCTCGATTCATTTTTAGTCATATATATATATTTACGGTACTCGAATTGCCATAAATATAATACTATGATGATGTTGGACGTTCTTTATAAACTTTAACAACAAAACGTCATCGCGTCACAAGACAAAGAAGAGTAACCCACTGATATCCTCCATGAGAATCAAATCAACCAGTGAGGACGGGATGAGCTTTCGGAAAATTATGGAACTCTTTGATTTTCTCAATTTAATCAGAAACCCAGCTCCGCCATAGATTTCCCCCCAAAAAAAAAAAAAAAATCTCTTCCCCCAATTCTCCCTCGCCGTCCAACTCCCTCTCCGAGCTCCCCTCCAATGGCGGCAACTGCTTCATTCCTCCAGTGGAACCCACTCAAATGGAAGCAATTCCCTCCCTCGCCGCCGCCGCCTCCGCCTACAGCAATTTGCTCGTCCTCCATCTCGTTCCCTCTCAGAACCGCCGCTAATAAATCCTCCGCCTCCAAACCTGCTTCCAGGCTCACGATCAGTTGTTCCTTGGCGGCGAAGCATCTGAACTCCTCCAACGACACTCATGCCCCGGCCACCACGTCGGGCTCGAGCTTCGCGATTGCCGAGTTCAAGAAGGAGAAGAAGAGTGCGTTCGAGAGACTCTGCAACGCCGCCCTGAAGGCCCTGCAGGCGATGAAGAAGCCAGCGATCGCCGCGATTCTGGTCGCCGCGCTGCTGATGTACGACCCCGCCTCCGCTTTCGCTGCCTCTGGTGGAAGGATGGGCGGCAGATCCTTCTCCCGCTCCTCTTCCTCGTCGTCGAGGAGTTACTCCGTGCCTCACGGCTCGAGCTCGGGGTTTTCCTACTCCGCGCCTTACTACGGCCCGTCCCCGTTGGGCGGTGGGGGAATTTACGCTGGCTCGGTAGTCGCCGGTGCTGGCTCTGGTTTGCTTCTAATTGTAGCTGGTTTCGCTGCCTTTGTGTTGGTCTCCGGGTTTCTTTCCGATGGGAATGAAGGGGGAATTCTAACAGCTACCGAGAAAACCAGCGTTATCAAGCTTCAGGTACTTCCTATGGCCTCCATTAAAATTGTTGAACTGAGGATTCTGGCTGCTACGGATGCTCTCTCTCTTTGTCCTGAATTAAAAATGGAACGGTTGCTATGAAAATCCTGTGTCTGGACTGTCGTAATAGTTTACCTAGTGGGCTTCAACTGTGAAAGGAACTCTTTGCGATTAGTGGATTCTGCAATCGAATTGAAACTAATGATTCTTGTCCTTTAGGTTGGCTTGTTAGGAATGGCACGCTCTCTTCAGAGGGATCTTAATAAGATTGCAGAAGTTGCAGATACATCCTCCTCAAAGGGTCTAAGCTATGTCTTAACAGGTATGGAGCTAATAATTTTCATTGGGGTTTTATATTGGAAGACCAAAACCATTTTTTGCCTTGTTTGTTATGCAAAATATTGTTAGCATCCATAGCTGATGAAGATCGGATCATGATCATCTGCATACTGTGGTTGCAGAGACTTCACTCTCTTTGCTTCGGCATCCTGATTATTGCATCTCAGCCTATTCAGCTGTAAGTTCTCTCTCCCTCTCTCTCTCTGACATTCATTTGCTAGTCTGTTGATTTTGCTCCGTACATGCTCGTCGTTTGTAATTCCAACATGGTATCATTGAGGCCGATGTAGTCTCTTTGAACGAGCCTTGTGGTTTATATGCTGCAGTATAGTATTCATCGGTGTGCTGATACTCGTGCATGTAAATTTTTCAATACTGCCAGGTAGATGTGAAGCGAAGTATGGAGGAAGGTGAGAAACGGTTCAACCAACTTTCTATTGAAGAGCGGGGAAAGTTTGATGAAGAGACGCTTGTTAATGTGAACAGCATTAAGAGGCAGAGCACCAAAAGCCGGAGAGCAAGCGAGTTTAGCAATGAATACATAGTGGTGAGTAGTAGTACTAGTAGTTCATATTTTAGACCTTGCACAGTTGCACTACCTTGACCTGTGCATCCAACTCTTCTTAGCCCCAGTTTGGTCTCCAGAATTGAGAATGTGTCATTCAAACGTTTGCAGATAACAATCTTGGTGGCAGCTGATGGGGTGCACAAGCTACCCGCCATTAACAGTGTTGGAGACCTAAAGAAAGCTCTGCAGAAGCTCGCAACAATTCCCTCTGACAGTATACTCGTAAGAGATTTAGCAAATCATCTGAATCACTCTGAATTGGTTATTGTCACCCGAATCCCACGATTGATCTCTATGATTTGTTCGTGGTTTTGTCATACATACAGGCAGTTGAGGTGCTGTGGACGCCTCAAAATGATAACGACACGCTGTCGGAACGAGAACTGCTGCAAGATTACTCGCTGTTGAGACCTTTATGAGAGAGCTCTAAATGATATATACACGCCCAAAGCTCTAGTGGTTGTCTTGTCTCCCCTGTTGAAGGTGCAGGTTTTTTTCTGGCAAATGGCACACTGTATTGTCCTGAAACTTGTAAATAAGGATATAATTCTGTTTGTACATGATATACTTTACTATATGATATGAATTTGCATACAGTTTTTTTCCTGCTATCTTCCCGTTGCTAGTCTGTAACAACATCGACAATTGGAAGGAAAAAAAACCAATCAAAGATCCTAAGATAATTGTCTCTGGCAATGAACAAATTGATCCTTGAGATGTAGTATTGAATCGTTCCAATCGTTCTAAAATCATAGGTGCAAAGAACGGTTGACTATATAATCCACCAGAAACCAAAAGTTACACTTCCCTTCTTCCTTCCTTTTCTATGGTTTGGTAATTGTTACCCATCAGGTTTCCAAACAGTGGCAACTCCACTCTCTGAGGGCTCTTCTTATAGTTTTGGCTTTGGGCTAGAAGGTGTTTTATCCCTTGCCCATAAGGGAGGGATGATCCTATATTTCACTGGCTCTTCCTCTTTCTTCACCTCTTCTCCTTCTTCCTTTACAACATCCTTTGAGAATGCACCAGGATTCACCTTGATACAATTCTGCAGGGCCACAAATGGCCGCACGCAATCCGATCCCTGCGGAACAAGGTACAAATGTGACACAATCCGCCATCTGATTCAGTAACACACTTACTCATAGCTCATGGGAAGAGAAGTAAATTCAGCCTCACAAGGACGAGGATACCGTTTTCTCTGGTTAGCAAAATGATTCACCTTTTCTTCAGCAGTGCTCTTGAGAAAACACAGGAAAGCATCCGAAAATTGAACCCCGCATTCGCCATTTCGCAGTTCACTTATGCAGGGGCAGTCGAGTGCCTTCTCGGCCTTGGAATCTTGAGACTGCCAATATAGAGAAAACAAAAAGATAAATCCCTCAGTAGTTCACGCTCACCATCTCTACAGAGGAGAAGCCCGTGGGAATCTGGAGGGTTGCAAACCGACCTCATTCACGGCAGCAGAATCACCAAAGGCAGCAGCTTCTGCCCAAGCAAACGGAAAAGCAAATACAATCAGGACACTTGGAAATCATCTTGAACAAAAACCAAGAATAGTCTCAATCATTTTCTTCATCCTTCTGTCTGAAGCTCGAATCAGTCAAAATTCCCCATTTGTTCACTCAAATAAATACGAGAGGAATATGCATTATTCATTGGACAGAAATGTCTACTGCCATTGAAGAAGTCGAAGAGCACCCAAATTGGACACTAGCAACGTCTTTACAAAACGAAATAGTCACAAATGATCACTGCCATTGATGTTGAATAGCATCCTAATTGGACTGTAACCCAAAGCCGTATGGTTGCAAAGAAGAATCAAATAGTGGAAGCTACGGGGAGCTGATATTGGAGTTTACTATTATCAAATTAAACGCTGCAGGAGAGGAAAAGGTTGCGAACAGGTCACCTGCAACGAGAGATTCCATGGAAGTAGGAGGAGACGAGCCCTGAGGCTTGAATTGCGTCTCCTCTGAACAAGCAGGTACTGAATGCTCGCTTTGAACTTGGCCCATCTTTCTTCTTCTTCGTCTTCCTCAATCCAATAAAATTACGGCCAAACAGGAATCCAATGGCGATACAGATGAAGGTTCGCTGGAGAGAGCGATTCTGCGATGTTGATTGCAATGGTGGAAGGGAAGCTTACAATTCCGCATGAAGTAACGCCGAGTTGTTCGATGAAGATATCAATTGAAGCAATCTGGGCGCCGGTAGCGAACAAAAAATCAGGACACCGGCGCGGAATTTCTCGACTGGGCGATGAAATTCCTATGCGAAGCAGATCAGCCAATCATTTCAACAGTCAATGGCGGCGGGGGAGATGGTAAGTGAACGAGATTGAGGAGATTAGAGAAGGATTCGGGGACTTGGACACAATCGCCGGGGGGGAGGCAAGATTACAGGTGGTGGAGATTGGGCTCCGATACGCCGACGGCAGCCCAACTAGCCGAAAGTGAGGACTTTTATATTGGGCCAGAATGGGACATTTTTATTGACCGGCCCAAGATTGGTGCAGAACTTTACTATCAGCTATTCAGGCTGAAATTATTTAAAAGAGTCGATCGAGCTCACTCCGTGCACTGCAAGCCCAAGAAAGGATGAATTGCAGTAGAGCGGGCAAGTCAGCTCAGTTTAGAGTAAGCTATTATTCTAGGGTCGTTTGGAAGTTGCGATTGTTAAATAGATATATTGTTGAGAATGCATGTATAATATTATACATGTATTGTTGAATTTGATGCATTGTAGAATACAACGTTTGGTATGTGTGATTGTGTATGTCGTATCAGCTAAAAGCTGAGACAAAACAATCTCAACTCAACTATCTCAACAATCACAACTAAAAGTTGAGATATAACAATCACTCAAAATGAGTGATAGTTTCTGTCACATCACAGAAACAATCTATGTATTGTTTCTACTAAAAAAACAAAAAAACGATGCATTGTAAACAATACATGCATAATGACAATCTTAACAAAATACATGTTTTTTATCAATGGAGTCATTGGAAATAGAATACAAGATATCTTTGTCATGTAAGATTCTGATATCATGTCATAAACCAATTGATCTCAATAACTCGAGTTGTTGGAAGAGGTTCAATCGTATATCCATCACTAATAGTTGGGCCTGGTTTAAATGGGAGCTACTAAATTGGATTAGTCAACACTTAAAAGAGAATTCAAGTCATATCATGAATTGTGTTAAGGGGTAGGCGAGTCAACGAAATATGAATCAATATTCTTACTGTCAATTTCACCATATATGCAGCAGACGCCTGTAGTGTTCTTTGTGGGTTACGCCTTACGCGCAAAGGAAGAAAAGGAAGAGAGTGCTGACCTTTGAGAAAGCAGTATCTAACTAATGGTCTGTCTGGGTCCACCTCATTTGTTAAACCACATGGTGTTTTGTTGGGAAAGTTAATCTGCTAACTTGAAAATTCGTTAGCAGATACTAACTAATATCCAAAATACATGAACTAGTATCCAAGTACTAAAGTATCTAGAGAGCACAGACTAGTATTCAAAGTTTGCTAACTGATATCTACAATGAATCAACTATTATCCCAAATTCACAAACTAATATCTAGACAACACAGAATAGTATCCATATAACACATAATTAGTATCCCGATAACACTTAAGAGTATCCAGATAACACATAAGAGTATCCATATTGAATACTAGTTGGTTGATTGTGGATATTAGTTGGTATCTGCTATCTGGATACTAGTTTGTGATGTTTTGAATACTAGTATGTGTTATCTAGATACTCAGCAGACTTGGATATTAGTTCATATATTTTGGATATTAGTTAGTATATACTAACGAATTTTCAAGTTAGTAGAATAACTAGGCTGTGTTTTGTTGAATCGTATGGAGTTTCCTTGTACACATTAATTACTTTGAGGACCTTTTGTGTTATTTGTCACTTAACCTAATTACCCTAGGCAGCGTAGTAGACAGGGTATATTAGGTTGGTTCTTCGGCCTTCAGATGTAAGTTCCGCAGCTCCCATTCTGTGAAGACTAATAAGATAAACTGAGAGTTTCGCCTCTCCGCGTGGAGGAGTCTCGTTCACACTGAACGGGGAAACCATGTAAATAGCTGTGTTGTGCTTTCGCGTTTTAGTAGATTTTACATGTTTGGACATATGCAAACGACAACCCCATATACATGGCATTCGTTTAAGGTGGTGTATTAACATATAATATAAGATTCATAATTGAATATCTCCCAACAACTCGAGAACAATTGAAACCAATTGATTGATTAAAAAAGAATTGGTCTGAATCCAAAACCCCATCTGTCCTTCTTGTTGGTTCTTATTAACTAAAAATATCATCAATAAGTCGACAACGTCTATTTCCGACACATATTTGATTCCTGTACATATTTAGCGATGAAAATTTGACGACACGACATTTTGATTCTAGCCAGCTGTTTTCCCGTAAGCAAAAATATATGTTGTGTTTGAATTGGTTTCAAGCCGGACACTTGTGATCTTGTGGTAACAATTGGGATATCTATCCCCCACCTTAAAGAACGACAAGGCAAGTGCGTCTGTTAGTGTTTTGGTGTATGGCACTATGCTGATCCTGTCTAGCTTAATTTGGTATTATTTCAAACCCATACATAAATAAAATAAATATGATTTTGATTTTTTGATTTTTTTAAATCCACCCCAAAGCTAGGTGGAAATATTAACAGAGTTGAGCGTATGAAATTTTTATAGGGTCTCAAATTGGGGTTTATGAAGTGAAATCTTTAGATGTATAGACAACATCCTTGGTGGGCGTTTTAGCATAACAAGATGGCTCAATTGGGACATCTATGTGGTTTTAATTTTTTTGGTTCAACATTACAATCATCCGTTAAGTACTTTTGTTCAAAACAAATATTGGTCTCATTTATGTATTTTTTATGTGTCACAGATATTTCGAATCTTAGTTTCGCATATTGTTTATGTTTTATTTTTTTTCTTTGTGTCTCATCACTACCGAAGATATTATACATTTTTTAATTTATAAAGTGAACAATAACATTTTTTCATGACTGAGTAAACAACCCTTTCGTACAATTAAAATGTTTATCATTTTTTATCCAGTAACTGATATTTTCGATCCGCTCGACTGATAGAAACTATACATATCATCAATTAGTAAGAAAATTCCTCCAATCACTATTAACCAACCATATGTGTACATAGATTAGGGATGGCAATGGGGCGGGTTTGGGGCGGGTTTGCCTAAACCATCCCCATCCCCGCTTCCAAATATCCAAACCCATACCCGCCTCATACCCATGCGGGGGAAGATTTTGCAAACCCATCCCCATACCCGTGGGTTTCGGGTACCCATGGGTAATACCCGCCCCGTACATCCAACATTATAATACATAAAATTTTACATGTAAATTTTCAATTATAACATTAAAGGCACCTATTATATCATGAAGTCGAGAAAGTGACAATAATTCTTAATATGGTTCAAAGCATTTTATCCTAAAATTTCCCTTAATCCATAAAATAGAGTACTACAATGTAATCCAAATCATTATTTATCTGACTCTAATACATATACTAAGCAATAATGAACTAATATAATCTTGCTAACACGAGGGAAAAGTGAAAGAGTGAAGAGAGAATTGAGGAAAATGAATTAGTTTTTGATTTGGGTGACCACTCAATTGCATTTCTACTAATTATTTTTTTATTTATCCTCACTATCATTGATAGATTACTATTTCATCCATGTATTTTTTATATGTGAACAAAATTCTTGGTGGGGCGGGTATGGGTATGGGTATGGGGCGGGGGAGGCTAAAACCATACCCGCCCCATACCCATCAAACATTTTGCGGGTTTTACCCATACCCGCCCCATACCCAGTCAAACCCGCCCCATACCCAGTCAAAGCGGGGATTCCCCGCGTTGACTGGGTCGGGGGCGGTCGGATACCCGTGGGCATGGGTTTGATTGCCATCCCTAACATAGATCTACATAACATCTCTTACTTGCAAGGAAGTGGCTCCTTTTTGCAATTACCTTTCTTTTTATATATAGCATACAGACCGTGCGCCCAAAAGGCCAAAATAGTACAAATTTTGTACCCAGGCCCAGCTCAACCCAAGCCTACCCCCACCTTCACTTTCAATTTTGATTACAGAAAAACAAAAAAAGGAACAATAATAATTTAATATAAAAATATCGTGTGGAAGTGGAAGTGTGTCTGTCCGACTGTCCCTTCCTTAGCTTCAGCATCAGCCTGCCAGCCAAATTTTATGTCGATCCGAAAAGCATTGAGATGATCCTCTCAGGTGGGCCCATTCGCGTTGTTAGTGGGATTAGAACTAACGGGCCCACTGATAGGGGGCACGCACATGGATTCCTTGTGGGCCACAACATTCTGGGCCTATCTGTTCGGTGTAACTTCCCGTCTCCGTCCTGCCTCCGCAATTTGCCGTCAGGCCGTGGGGCTGGGGCCAAGTCTTTGTGGAGCACAATGTTCCATATAAAATCCATCAAATACCGTCCTCTGCCTTGTCAAAAAAAAAAAAAAAAAATACCGTCCTCTGAATTTTAGGCGAAAGAAATGGCTAAATTAAATTTACATAAATATTTCATGTTTGTCAGTCAAATTACTTTTATTTATTATTCGTCACTAACTTTATAAATTGTTTCACCGTTAGTTATCGACCGTAAAACTCCGTCAGTTTTCTATGATGTGGCAAACGGAAGTGCTAACTGCACCGTTAACTTAATGACATGTCAATTTTAAAAAAATAAATAATAATCAACTTTCACCTTCTTCTTTCTTCACGCTCTTTGGATATTTTAATACCCATTCACCTTCCATTCAAGTTTCCATTCAACATAATGTGTGATTTTATCTAAATTAGGTGTCCATATGTTGCGGTCTACACTCTACAAACACAATTATATGGT